CTGTTGGATACATGTGCTGGATGATTTTGTGTCACGCAGACTGGTAAGATAACCGTTTGATAGGGGGCACCGCGATGATTCACGGGGCCCCTCCTTGCTGTGGGAGCCGCTCTTTGAGCACTCCCTCTTTCGTCCGTGTGAAGGACGGTCGTCTACCTCCCGTGAAGTTAATACATCACCAAAACAGTCTCACCCAATAAATAAGTGGCGTAGGCCGCAAACATCTTCTTCCTCAGAAGCGAGCAGATCGTCAATCGGTGCCCTATTGATCTCGTTCTGGTTCCAAAGTGTGCTAAAAAGGCTTCCCGGAACCCAAGTTTTGGGGCACCTGTATCGCGCGGCGCAACTTTGGCGGATACATGGAGCCTTTTTTTTCTTTTCTTTTTTCCCTCCTGGGGACGAAGGGAAAAAATGTCGCTCGCTTCGCTCGCTCCGCGGCTCATTACAAAACCAACCAGGACCGACTGGTGTCGCCCCAGACCCAGGTGTGGCTTGCCACATGTGTGCTCTGTTGTATCTGGTGGCATTAGGACTGGCTATTGTTAGCGGTAGCTCGTGCAGACAGCGAAGAGTGCCACACCATGGCATGGACACATGTTTGCACCGTTTTCTGGTTTTCAAGGTCTCACACCTTTTTCGATAAAAATACCTCAGGCATGAACCGCAGGAGGGGGTCCAACCCCCCCCTCCTACGTGACCTCGGTTGTGTCGTCTAGCTAGTAGAAGTGGAGGATAGGGGCCAGAGGGGCAGACGACAGAGTCCAATGATGGGAGAAAAACAACAACAACAACAACAACAACAACAACAACAACAACAACAACAACAACAACAACAACAACAACAACTACAACAAAACCTTGTTCGCGCCGTACTCACCCCTCTTCAGATAATTTTCTGTCGGAAACAGCAACGGATTCCTCCAAGCGCACAGCAGCACATGATGACCCTTGTTTGCGCTTATTTCTATTTAGTAGCAGGGTAGTAAGTGTTCCTCAACTGGGCACTGCTGTTGGACGCAATGTGGGGGCCGCACTCCTCCCGCCCTTTGATAAATTTAAAATTCAGGTGTGTACCCACATCGATGCTGGTACAGCTTGCAATCGTTAAACACGACTGGAATTGAAGCCATGTGCTACCGCCCTATCTACGCACGAAATGTGATTCATAGCCAAATTGTGTTGGTCTGGATGGTATTTGTGGCGTCTACCATGTCTGGCGTGGATTTAACTCGTGTATGCCTCTACCTCCCCCAATTGTTGTTTTTCAGCGGACGGGTCTGAGCAACAAACTGGGTTCAGTAGAGTCAGCAGCAGCCGAGATTTTGCTGACGTCGCACAAGCGGCGGTACGTGAGCAGGTTTTTCCCGCTCTGACATGATGCAGCATCCATGGCGGTGCAAAGTGGTGCCGATGGTGGTGGTTCTGCTGGCGCCTGTCTGCCACGGTGTGTGCCATGTAGCTTTCATGTTCTTTCATTTCATACCAACGACATTATGTTTCGATGAAGTGGTTTTCGGCGGCCGGGCGGAGGGCGGTGGTCTCCCCGTGCTGGGATCGTTTCGTCGAGACACCCAATACCTACTTCTCCCCTCCAATATCAGACGTTGACGCCGCGGGGGTTGGAAGTTCACACCAGGAGTGTAGAGTAGACGAAGCCCACCACCATGATTGTCAAAGAGCTACTCCACTACGCCGCGCCGTTGTTAGTCGGCTTGCCATTCTGCCCTTTTTCTCTCAAGGATCTGCTGGTAGATTGAAAGGAGGATGGCCGAAATCTCTTCACAGTTTCAACATTCGCGGCACAGATCATCCGTGCATGGATGTATTCCGATTAATTTCTGGGGTCTGAAAAAACCTGACGCTGTTGGCAGGCGATCTCGAACTGGACCGCGAGGCTCTCATCGCCCTGTACAATGCGACCGGCGGGCCTGATTGGACGTACAACGACGGTTGGGCGACGGGTGACAGTGACATGGCCTCCTGGTACGGGCTCACGATCAACGAGACCACCTCGTTCGTCTCGAGCATCTCCCTGACCAAGAACAACCTGGAAGGTAGGTCCTACATGGTCAGTTAATGAGGAGCATTGGACCAAAGGCGAGAGCGACGTGCGTGCGTCGAGAGACGTGCGTGTGCTTGCGCCGCTCCATGGTAGTATTGTTGGAGGGGGGTGTACTCATAGTCGTGCATGCCGTAGTCGTTAGACCATTG